TATTTATCTTTATGTAAATACGAAAGTTAAGAAAAACAATAAGTTTCATTTATTGCGCATAAGCTGCAAGTAAACAGAACTCATTAGATAAGTTCAAGATGAAGATAAAACAAAGGAAAATTATAGACATATGCAAAAGGGGGGGGGAAATAATGAAAAAAATAACAAACAACTGATTAAAAAAATAAAGGATGAAATTTTTTAAGGAAAAACAGAAAATAAAAGATATAATCTTTTCATCAGCCCACACGATTATATCCCCAAAAAAGAGTGCTTACTGATATTGTATCAATGTAGCTAAAGCAAAATATACTAATACAATAGTGTGAGGAGCACTCAAAAAATTTTTCTTACAAAAATTACAACAAATGAAATAGAACATAATAAATAAAAATAACACGTAAAAACACGTCTTCTCATGATTCAGAAGCGGGTTTTTGTTTACATTCAAAGCTTATGCCTTTATGAAGACGCTTTGTCTTTATCATAGTTAACTTAGTTATGTCACAAAATAAAATTTGATCAGTTGTATGTTGTAAAGAAAATTAACTTTTTGAACAGCATTTTTTTCTCGCGTCTGCTTAACTTGCTCGCTTACTTAAACTACTCGTATAAAGGTCAATGTTTATCTCTTTCACATCTGGCATACAGTTTGATTGGAGTCTCTTACAGTCTCATTTTGGTCTGACGTATCAATATTGCTTTTCTATTAACTACATTTTTCATTCAAAGTTTTTGCTTTGTTGCTAAAAAACAATTTTTTTAAATAATAAATTGTTGATTAGAGGCTAAAGTAGAAGATATAAGTCTTTTTTCATTGTTATTTTATAGCTTGTCATTTTAATATTATCATTTTTTTTAACATTTAAGGTTTAAAAATGCGAAAAAAGAACCTCCATTCAAAAACGTTAAAAATGTGAAATTGAATGATAAAAATCAATGAAATGGAACAAAAATCAAGGAAATTCTGGAGAAAAAAAATTCTTTTTTCAAAATGGGAAAAAGTGTAAAAACTGATTCCTGGCTTACTGATGTCGAAACCATCAAAAGAAACGAAATAGCTTATGCTATTTAAGTTTGGTTACTATGCAAAATGGTCTTACGGATGAACATGAATATTTTCTATGAAATACTGTCTGTCAAGTAGACCCAGGCGAATGCATCTCAGAATGGAATCTATGTATTGTTTCCTCTCATCTGGCCTGTAAATAAAATATTGCACAAAGTAAAGAAAAAAATGAAAATATTTTGAACTATTAGAGTATAATCTTATTTACATATTATACTAGTTTGAATTCTAAATGAAATGCATTTTTTTTTTGGTTTACATGAATATAATAGCCACATTGAAACCCAAATAAAGAACCAACTCCTCTGACAACACCGGTGCATTCTAACAACAGGAAGATTTAGGAAAAAAGAAGCAGTCTCTAATAAAACCCCATCAAGCCAAAAAAAAAACGCAATTGTGGTCAATCGATTGGACTAGGAATGTGCGATGCAAGAAGTTTTATATCGTGATATATCGCATGTTTGATAACGTGTTATAGCGAGGTATCACGATATAACATACGTCAGAATGCTGTTTTTTTTAAAAATCGAAACTGCATAATCCAAAATCTTAAACCAATCTAATGTCAATAAAATAAATAAATATATTAAAAATAATATGTCAATTACAAGAAAATTCTTTTATACCGTCAATAACATTACTTAGTTTTTTCATAATTCTGAAAGTATAAACCAGAGCAAGCACGAAGCGTAATAAACGTACAAATAAATTTAATTTTAGCTTTATTTATTGATTTATCATTAAAAAAATAAATAAAATTGACTTAAGATTTATTAGTTTGAAAATAATACTGAATTTTTAACGAATTACTTATAACTTATGTTGCGGCAAACACTAACTCCAATTAGTTTGCGCCACCAAAAGTATTCAAAATATGTAGGTTACTCTGAGTATGGCAAGAGAAAAAAGAGAGAACTGGAAATATCGTTGAATTGACTTTTTAAAAATATCTTTGGAACGCTGTTTTTTGTTTTGTTTTTTGTTATGTTTTTTATTTAAAATAAATGTTTTGTTTTGCCTGTTTTTAAACGTTATCAATCAATAGACAAGATGCCTCTCACAAACACAGTCAATCCGGTTAGGAACGACAACTTAAAAGTATTAAAAAAAATTAAAATAACAAAATTATTGGTACTATTTTAAAATTATTAAATAAAAGGTATTTTAAGACGCCTAAGCAGCAGCCAAGGATCCTTTGCTTTTTAAGTCGTTTTATTGTTTCGCGAGAAACGGAAGCCGCTATATCGGCGTGACGATGCATGCCTTAAATCGATATATCGATACATCACCCAGTCCTAAACTTGACATGGATGTTTCATACTGAATTTCTCCCTTACTCAATATCACCAAAAACTGAATTAAAATAGAAAGAAAAAATTAAGAAAAACGTTACTACTCATATCTCCTGTTCTCAAAATTGGAATTTTTTTTCCATTGGAAAAAAAAATTCAAAATTTTTTTTCGAAATTCGAAATTGAAAGTATTTCAACCAAAAAGCAAAGTATTCCAACCCGTTGTGGGCATGGAGGATAAGGCTCCACAATTTCCTGATAACGGCATGATTGTAGCAATGTGGTCAAAACTGGACACTGGCTGCCTTTACTTCTCAGACAATCACATTGTTATCCCTTAGCTACCACTGGAGATCGAGCCTCAGTTCTTCACAATGACGGTTCAGTACCTTAACCACTGAGCCATCGCGGCTTACTCAAAACCGGTCGGTTGGGTGACCGATCTACTCGCTGCGTACCACCGGTTTCCCATAAGTCTCTCGCGGCCTAGAGACCAAAGAAATCTAACTACAATTTTACGCATTTATTATTCCTTAATTTTAAGCGTCAGGATATTTAAATTTTTTTTGTTTTTGCCTATTATTACTCCACCCTCATATAAATCTGGGGTGATTAGTACAATAAGAAATAGTCTCTATTTTGAAACGGATGCTTAGTGACGACATTCCCCAAATCTTGAAAACACATAACTCTCGACTTAATACTTTTGAAACAGCATTAAACCACAAACCTTCAAATTATTCACCTGTGATCTATCCATTTGATACCGGCTTCCCAGACTCTTTCTTCCTTCCGCACGTTGATCCTATCAGAATTCAATAGATCCATAACATCTTCCAGAGACAACTCCAAAAACTCCTCACTTTGATCAACTATTTCTTCAAAATTACTTATCAGGTATCTTTAAAATTTGAAGAAAAAAAAACATTCTTATAGCTGCTATATCAAAACTCCGTAGATGCAAAAGGACATTAGCAAGACAACATAATAAAATTCCTTACCTAAATACGACGAAATATTTCAGATTTCAGCAAGTTAGATAATATAAAGGCCAGATATGAAAACATCCACACCAATTTGATTGTCATGTAAAACTACGAGACGATATAACAAATCGAATTCTGTCTTCTTTAAGTTATATCGCATTGCCAAATTGGTTTTAATGTTTTAAATCCAAGCATCATTGTGGTTGATTAACCGCAACAATGATTCATTGGGATATTTTTTTTTCATTGAAAAAGATAGTGACAAATACATACTGTAATTTTGCTTTTGTTGTAATTAATTAAATTTTAATTAAAAAAAATATTGTGTGGTGATTAAGACAGTTTTATATATTGTTGTGAGGAAAAGATGAAATTCACGAGGGAAGAAATTTAAAATAGTGATGGGACAATACGTTTTTTTTTTTTACAAATATTAAATTTCTGAATCTACTATTTAATTTTATTCAAGGCGAAAAATACATTTGAACAGTGGGTACAAGTGAGGGTATATTGGCACATTTTAGTTACATAAAACAAATAAAAATGTGAAATAATAACCTTATTTAAATGTGACGAATTATATCCGATGTCAGTAAGTAAAGCAATATAAAGGCGAGATTTAAAAACACCATCACTAGTTTGATGTTCATATTAAACTGTGAGGCGTTATCACTAATCGAATTTTGGTCTTCTATAACTTATATTGCTGAATTAGTTTCAATGTATCCACCATCATTATGATTGATTAACCTCTATAATGACTCGTCGAAATGTTCTTTTCCCACTAGAAAACATTACAAAGCCCATTATATACATAATTTTGTTTTTAATTCGTAACTGGAATTCTTTTTACTCGGATCACATGCGGTCCCATATCTGTTCAAGTATTTTGCAATGTTTTTGGCAAATTCGGCGATTTTTTGTGATTACCGTGACGATATTATAGAAACATAACATAAACCATCTTCAAAAGGTATAGACAGTGTTAGAAATAGACATTTTAAAAGAGCATATAGTTAGAAATTGGCATTTTAAAGACACTTTTTCCTTCAGAAAATATGCATAATACACAAAGTCCAAAATTAATTTTACGGTACACTAGGGGCATGAAAAGGTGCGATCTCACAATTACGAAAGATTCTTTTGATATAGTACAAATGTGATAACATATATATATATTTATAAGTAACAATAACTAAATCATTTTAAACAATTTTCTTTCCAAAATACTGCATGCCTAATTTAGTCTCAATAGAGAAATAGTCAAAATATACAAATGATTGTTAGTTAATTATTAAAGAAAAAATAATTTTTATTTAACAAGCATACTTATGTGCTGCCTTATCCAACTCAAGCACAAAATAATTCCTCGCAAGTTGTCTGATTCCGATGCAATTCTCCGAGTTCATTTTCTCGATCAAAAAATTGGCGCAATCTTGTACCATTCTCGCAACGCAGAACTGATCCGCTGTCGGAAGTAAGCTTGTGACGTTTTCCTCCGTAACTCCTGTTTTGCCTGCACGTAATAAAATCATAAATTTGCCTTGCGGCAACGTTTAAAAATTATTACATTAAAAAGTTCTTTGAAATTATATAACTGGAAAACGGTAATTGATTGAAAAATGTGACACGTGCTTATAAACTGATATGTAAGTTCTATAATAAGTTCTATAATAAGATAGGAAGACGTGGTATATATATATACTACTGCTAAATCACTAAAATCGTTACTGTGCACATACTCTAGTAGACCAAACAATTTAAATTTTCAGCTAGTAGCTAGTTTCAGTTAGACTTTATCACTAGTAGAGTCTACTACGGTAATAACCACTTTTTGCTCAAACATGATGAGTCATTTAACGATATCGACTGGTCCTTTTCATTTAATAGTCCTTTTTTGAAAACTTTTTTTATTATTATCTTATTTAATAGCAGTCAAAAAAATCTTTGAATTGTATGGTACATAATTTTTTATTCTGTTTTGAAGTATGTAATTTTACATGGCAAAATACAAAATGTGAGCAAAATTAGTTGAACAGTTTTTGAGAAATCAAATTTTTAAAATATATCGTTTTGAAAATTCGATTTCTCAGGAATTATTCGATCGATTTTGCTCACACTTTGAATTTTTTAAAACTAAATAAGACGATGTAAAAATTTGTATACCTCATAATTTAAAAGTTTTTTGTTTATTATTCGATAAAGTAATAAAATTATAAATGTTTATTTAAAGTTATATTTTGCATGAAATTATCTTTGGATAAACGAATTTTATAATTGTGAGCAAAAAATGCTCAATTCGCTTGAAAAGTTCTCGAGATGCGGTGAAAGAATTTTCAAATTTTTTTTTTTTATGTAATTAATTCACTTCAAAGGGTTTGTGCAAGCTGCCTTCAGTCTATTGTAACAGCAATAACCTCTCTCTCATTAAGTAGTGATCACGTAGTAATGGAGGGCGAACGCTCTATCACCTGAGCCATCGCGGTTCAGGGGATATGCTATTTATCATAAATTATGCACTATTTACCTTAAATTAGGGAAAAAAAATCACAAAATGACCACAACTCAAACAGTTACGTATAGCATTGAAGGATACCGGCACACACTACAGTGACCATAATAATGTATAAAATAACGTATTATGTTTTAGACATACAATTTATGCTGTTAAAGAAATTAGCCTTCGTATGAAATGAATAAATCAGATGTGGCAGTTTGGAATAAGAAAAATACCGGAAAATATGAAGTATGATTACCTCTTGCAATAATACAGCACGTGCAGTGATGTGTGACCAGTTCTGTTGGAAGTGTGAGCCATTCTTCTTGCAAGGCAGTAACACGCCTAGCAAGGGTCTGAGGAAAGTAACTTCTGAACTGAATTAGACTTTCTGTTCTATTCTTTTGTGTACATGACGATAAATATCGGTCACCGGATCTCGTTCTAACATTAGGCCGTGCTTGGCTGCACATTCTGAATGCCGAACCTGTGGTTAAAAATTGTTGCCCAAGTCCATGAACCACAGAAGGACTTGCATTTAAACATCGGGCCAATTCTGCCTGACTTTTTCTTGCCTCTAAGTCTTCCAATAGATCTCCAACGCAATTCTTCGAACAAATGATGCCTGGCGGTTGTTGTAACGAATTGGCTATTTATGATTTCAGAAACACAGCTAAACTCACGGCTTGCAATCAAACATACAATTTTATGTCCATTGCAGATGGAGTCATTCCATTGCAGCTCCACTTACTCATATATTGCAGTTTTGCTTATAAACTCTTGACAACATTTATTTTTCGGAAAGTTCTTGTAATTTTTCCTTCATTTATGATAATCAGTGTAGTTAAAATAATACTTTAATCTATTTAAATTATCTCAGTTTTATGTTTTCTAATAATTTTGGTCGAATATTGCCAGATTCAACTTTTTTGTCGTAGTTTATTGATTTAGTGACTAACTTGCCAATAAATAACAACGAAACGGCTGTTTCTGGCCCTATTTGAATGCAATAGCAATATATAAGTAAGACAAATTAGATAAATTAACGCACCTGTTCAAATACACAAACATAACAGAAGAGCTCCCCTAACCGCGTCAGATGGCATTTCTGACCAAGGGTTGCTTTCACTCTACATATGGTCGCCCAACTTTTCATCTAATAAAATTCTAATAAAATCAAATTTTTATTTCAAACCTGTGTATGTGAAGTCGATGACAAGTGATAACATATCCGTGCTGATTCCTGGAATTGTGTACTCTCTACTAGGCTGATGCCCGTTGATTCTTGAAGTGAAAAGAGCTCGAAAATACGGACTGCACAATGACATTAAAATCCTTAAAGACGAGAAAAAAATACATTGCATAAAAACAGGAAAATCTTTTCGATCTAATAACATGGGAAATTACTATGAAGAAAGATCGGAAGACTAGTTTTATTTTGCGGAGGCAGGGTTGAACCTAATACAGTGAGAACTCTAACGGCTATATGCTAAGTTAGTTATGGTCAATAGTAGGACTGGGCAATATATCGATACATCACGAAATATAAATTTAACGCTTACATCAGTGGTTCCCAACCTTTTGTGGACCATCGCCCCCCTCTTGGAGTTGGCTGACACATATCGCCCCTTTCTCCTTTTGCTCAAAAAACCATTTATTGTTGCTTGTGAGCAACCAAACACTGAAAATATGCCATGTTATTTGATTTTAATTTAAATTGTAATGCAAATAAGGAGGCACATTTATCCTGTCATTTTTATTAATTAAAAAAAATTGTGCATCTTTTTTTTTTCAAAAAGAAATGATATTGAAAGCGGAATAATCAAAACAAAAGTAAATTTTTTTAAATTCATATTTTAATGTAATCAAGAAAAAGTTAAAACGTTAACAACTAAAATTTGAGAAAAAAAATGAAGAGGGAGAAAGTGCATTTTTACCACTTCAATGACTGGACTTTCTAATTCCATCAAATCTTTAAATCTTGATTCCATAACTGATCAAGGTGATCAGTAAAAATTAAAATTAATTTTATTTTCGAGAATTTCAATATCTGCCATTGAACACTTTTTAAGAGCTGGAAATTGCATTAGCTCTTTGCGACCAATGTTTGACTTGTAGATATCAAACATAGCAATGAATGAAGATATGATTCCCTTAGCCTTGATAATGTTCATTTTATTTCCTTGAAGTTTTACGTTGATTTCCTTCATTTCTTCAAAACTATCAGTGAGGCACGCAGTTTCCAATTTGCGTTGCTTCAAACTCTCACTTAAATCAGGATCAGTGGAGTCGAGAAACTCAGTAAGAGAATCCAGCAATTCAAAGAAACTGCTCAGTTTCCTTTTGAAAGTCATCTCACAGCTGTATGTTGGAGGAATTCGAAATCTTCATCATTTTCATGGCAAAGTTCTTGGAACAAACGGTTATTAGGAAAATTAGCTTTTATTTTATTGATGCCAGAAATAACCAATTTTTCGCAGCCAAAAGTTGACGATGAATGACATAATGAATGGTGAGATAACTTCCGGTACTTCTTTTTTAAGGTGACCCAGAAACCCAGTATGACAACCAGACATGGTTGGAGCACCATCTGTTGCACAAGCACTTACATTTGTGAGGGGAATTTCTTTTACCTCAAAATAATCTTTGACCAATTTAAAAATCGACGATCCTTTTGTATCTGTGTTCAAAGTTCTTGTAAACAACATTTCCTCGTTAATCTCCTTACTCTCATTTATGAATCTCACGTAAGCTAAAACAGCTTTGT